AATGAGTTTATCTACTAACACCCCCCCTCAAGTTGGAGGGTGAGCCAACCCCCAACTTGGGCAATATTCGATGATGTATAGGTCCTGGTAAGCTCTTAGTGAATATGTCAGCGAGTTGCGCATGAGTGGAGACATGATCAAGTATGATGAGGCCTTCTTGTAGCTTCTCGCGAACGAAATGGCAATCGAGCTCAATATGTTTGGTACGTTCATGATACACGGGATTGGTGGCTATGTAAATGGCAACACGACTATCACACTTCACAGGAATAGGCAAGATATCAGGAACATCCAATTCAGATAAGAGCCTAGAAAGCCACGCTAATTCAGCAGTAACACGTCGTATAGACCTATACTCAGCTTCTGCAGAGCTAAGGGAAACAACTGGTTGTTTCTTAGCCTTCCAAGATATAGGGCTCCCTCCCAACATGATAAAGTATCCACTTACAGACCTGCGAGTCGTGGGACAAGCAGCCCAGTCTGAGTCACAATATGCTTCCAGTTTGAAATTAGAAGTAGAGTTGAACAATAATCCTTGAGAAGGATTGTCATTGAGATAGTGTAGAGTGTGTAAAGCTGCATTCCAATGTAATTGTCTGGGATCCTGCATGAATTGACTAAGAAACTGAGCTGCATATGCAAGGTCAGGTCTCGTGTGAGTAAGGAAATTTAATTTTCCTATGAGGCATCTATAAGAAGAAGGATCAGACAGTGGAGGCCCTGCATCAAGATACAACTGAAGGTTGGCCTCTAAAGGACAAGCAGCAGTTTTGTTTGTGAGACAACCAAATTCCTTGAGAAGATCAAGTGTAAATTTCCTTTGAGTGACTATCATTCCTTCAGGTTGATAAAGGACCTCTAGTCCTAGAAAATAACTGAGGTTGCCCAGGTCTTTGATTCTGAAAACAGTATCTAAATGTAACTTCAGAGCAGTGATTTCTTCCATATCATTACCAGTGATAAGAATATCATCTACGTATACAGCAAGATGAACAACTGATGAACTTGTTCTCTTTGTGAAGAAAGAATAATCATTCTTAGAGGGAATATATCCTTTGGATCTTAACACAGTAGAAAGCTTTGCATACCACTGCCTAGAAGCCTGCTTCAAACCATATAATGATTTCTTGAGTTTGAGGACCTTATTGTTTCCTGCCAAGAATAAACCTGGAGGTGGTTTCATAAAAATCTCTTCATTCAAATCTCCATGAAGGAAAGCGTTGTTGACATCTAATTGGAAAATTGACCATGCTTTCTTGGCAGCTATAGCAAGCAGACAACGTATAGTAGTCATTTTTACCACAGGAGAAAATGTTTCATGATAGTCAACTCCTGCTTTCTGTGTACAACCCCTAATGACCAATCTAGCCTTATGCCTTTCCAAACTTCCATCAGATTTGTATTTGAGTTTGAATACCCATTTGCTACTTATAGGTTTCTTCCCTTTAGGAAGGTCACACACTTCCCAGGTACCAGGGTCATGAAGGGCTTGGAGTTCCTTCTGCATAGCTTCTTGCCAAGCAGGGTTGTCCTTAGCCTCCTCATAAGATCTTGGTTCCTGCATTTGTGAAATACTATGCAACAAGTGTTGACTATGTTGGGTTAAAACATTGGAGCATACATGAGAAGAAGGAAGAGTAGAAGTAACAGTATGGGCACAGAAACTTGGAGACAACAGAGTTGGTTGAGAGAAAGATACAGTGGAAGAACATACATAATCAGATAGGTAAGAAGGGGTCTTATGAGATCTGGTTGAGTGTCTCACAGATGGTGAAGGTAAGTTGATAAAATTGGAATTAGGGTTAGGAATGGCAGAATGTGAAATAGAGGAAGGATGAGAAGGATTTGTGGATATGGAAGAAGGCTGTAGATTGTCATCAGGTATGGAAGGTGACATATTGTCACTGTCAAAGAAAGAATCTGGATTAAAAGAAGGAGAAAAGATGGTGGTGGTATTGTTGTTGGAAGACTTGTGAAAGGGGAAAATGTGTTCATGAAAAATGACATCCCGAGAGTCTTCAAGTTTATGGGTAGCAAGGTTGAGCACTTTATATGCTTTCTTTCCATATGAGTATCTTAAGAAGACACAAGATGAAGCTCTCTCAGCAAATTTGTGTCTACCTTGCTTTTGAGTGGCAACATAGCATAAACACCCAAAAACTCTAAGGTGGTTGTAAGTAGGAGGTTTTCCAAAAAGCTTTTCATATGGAGTTTTGCCCTGTAGGAGCTTGGTAGGGAATCTATTAATAAGATATGTGGCTGTAAGGACACATTCTCCCCAATAGATCAAGGGAATGTTGGACTGGAAAAGCAAAGCTCTGGAGGTTTCCAAAAGATGTTTGTGTTTTCTCTCAACTATGCCATTTTGTTGAGGTGTATTTCGAATGCTGGTTTGATGTTGGATGCCTTTGGACAGAAAATATTGGGTCATGGCAGTACTTTTACCCAATTCAAGAGCATTGTCAGATCTTATACATTTGACATGAGTGTTGAATTGTGTGTGGATCATGGTGATAAAGGTTTGGATCAAATCTGGGGCATTACTCTTGGCAGACAAAAGATAAGTCCAAGTTGCTCTAGAGAAATCATCCACAATGGTTAGAAAATAAGAGAAACCATTGTGAGTTTTGGTGTGATAAGGACCCCATATGTCTATATGGATTAACTCAAAAAGACAGACACTTTGAGTTTGGCTATGAGGAAAGGGCAATTTATGTTGTCTAGCCTTAGGACACACATCACAGGAATCAATACAACTTGTATCTCTAAAATCAAGAAAAGAGAATGATTTTAATTTGTAAGCAGGCAAGTGTCCCATTCTCATGTGCCAAAGAGTCATGTCATCAGTTTTACAAGCTTT